GCGTTTTCACAGCTGACTCATTTTAAGTAGATGCACTTTAATTTTTGCTGAGGTTTGTCATCAGCAGTGCAGCTCAGCAGTCTTTCCACATTCACGGCCCATCTCATATTCACTCTCTTGTCTAGCTTAGGCGTACTCATACTTTCCTCCCCTAAATTCAGTGCTTTAGAAGCATTTTAAGGAAACTGCAATAAAGTATATGGAAGCCCATTTCCGCCACTGAATACAAAAAAAAAAAAGGTTATTGCGACTTTTTATCTCACAATTCTGACTTTTTTTTCACAGAATTGTGAGATATAAACTCACAATTGCGAGTTATAAAGTCAGAATTGCGAGATATAAAGTCATAATTGTGAGATTAAAACTCATAATTCTGACTTTTTTTCTCGCAATTGCGAGTTTATATCTCGCAATTCTGACTTTTTTTCTCGCAATTCTGACTTTTTTCTCAGAATTGCGTGATATAAACTCGCAATTCAGGGCTCGCAAAATCGCTAGCCCAACGTCCTGGGGCTATTGTGTTTTCCAGTCGGGCTACCAAAATGTATCACCACTCTGCCCGACGGGCTACCTTAAATTCAGATCTCCCGCGGGTTCTTAAAAACTCATAAAGTGAGTAGTATCAAACTTAAGGCCATAAAAATTTTAAATATGTTAAATGGTATAAGAAATGTCTTAATTATAATTTCAAGAGGTCTTACAGTTGGGGACGGAAAGACAAGAGTCGCGATACTGATGTCATTGAATAAATACGAGCGCTGCACATTTCAAGTCAAAACACGGCGTGGATGTCTTTATTTGAATGTATCTGAAGGGTACTGTCCTCAGAAACGTGTCGTTGGCATTTTAATTTCATTTTACCTATAATTCCTGATAAAGCATGAGCGCGGAGCTGCTTTGCGTACAGCCGTTACCGGGGAAAGCGCAATATTTCAGCGCTCCTAAAGTGCCACCTCATGGCACAGAATGAATTTGCGTTTCCAATAAGCCTTTCTTTGTGATTATGGTCAGATCAATGCAAATATCAACTCATGTTTTTACGCAGCAAACACAGAGTTGTAAATGAGAAAGAAGTTAATGTGCCTTCTAAAAATCTAATCAA